GTAGCTCAGCAGGATTGGTCACCCCAGTGGCACTAACTAGTGGTAGTTGCCTCTGCCACAAATTCAGCTTGGCGCTATTACCTTCCAGTTGGAGAGACAATTTATGGGTGGGCATCACATAAGAGGCATGCTCACTGGTCAGGTGATTCAATGACCCGTGACAGTAACAGTTCAACCATTTTAAAAACTTGTCAACTGTAGATTAAAGGAGTCCAGAAGCCCTAATGTAAGCCCTTAGGAATGTGAGTGAAATACTGAGTATGTTAGACTCATCCCAAGCGTAGTTTGCTATGTATTATATGTTCTATACATAATTTTGATTTGTGTTATTTTTCTGATTCGGCTTTTTAGAGAATGTTTAGAAATATTTGCAACCAAATGTTTTTACTGGAACTGATTAATGAAGTAGTTGAAGGGTTAGTGTATATTTCTTATACATAATATGAACTTTAGTTGTTGATTCTCTAAAAATGGGTTACTTGTGTTGCGATGTATGTTGAATGATATCAAGTTTCTGCATTGTACGTGTCAAATGCTTGTTGTTGGATAGAGTGAAGTTCAGCAATTTTGGTATTTCAAGATGACAGATTGCTCCAGATGGAGGTGATAAGTGAAGATATAGTTATTTTTAAGAAGAAAATTCGAATTTGCTATTGCAGGTTATTTTTTATGGCCGAGGGAAAATCTTTATCATATAAAAAATCTACCATGGTTTTAATTTGGTTGTGTCCAGTTTCCAATGCTGAAACACTCTTAAATACTTGTTTAAACTTTCTCTTGGCAGAAAGTAGAGTAAATATATTAAAGTGTTTCCCTAAAACCACCTCTTTTATTTCTCTCATGGCCGTAGCTCACCACATTTGGTACAAATCAGGGAGAGAATCCGAATCAACGGGCAGCCCATTGGAAAAGAGCTCTTTGCCAAATACTTCTTTGAGGTTTTTGGACGACTTGAGAAAACTAAGGTAGGTAACAGAAATTAAGGTCTGAGCACTTGTCCTCATTCTGTAAACTCAAAAGAAAATAGACATAGTGAAAAATGTATTTCTCTCTGATATGATTCAGTGGATTTGGTCATTTAACCTGAGGACATTCACATCAATATCTCGTTTTTTAACGTTAAGATTTCCTTACTATTTAGATTTAATGCTTGATCAGAATTTGTGTCAAGTATAGTTCACCAGCATCACAAGTTGTCAATAAGTTCCTTAGATAATTTTATTCCTCAGGTCAGAGTAACCAGCTTGTTAAAAAACAAACTTCTTATAGGCTGACAAACAATTACTAACTGAAAGTGGCTGTTAAAAATAAGAAAAACCAAACATCTGTTGGAACTGTCTGTTTAGGCTGTCATCGCCAACCAACAGTTTTCAACCATTTTATAAATAGTTTTGTCCAATTACTTTTGGACCCTCAAAAGAAGAAATCATATTAAAAATGCTTTGGTTCCTAAAATGTATGCAGTCCTTTTTTAAAGCTGAAAGATTCCATTTTAATTCCGTCTGATTTGTTTAATTTAGAATTTATGATGGTAACGTGCAGAACCAAAATATATAAAACTTGTCTCATTATCATTCAATTTTCATGCACAGAGGTTTATTTGATGAGCTGACTTCAAGAGAGTGTATATTATGTTTCATGAGAAATTATGTCTTTTTGCAACATATTTAATATCAGAAGAAACAAATATTGCCGTCTGTTTTCTCCAGTAACTTTCAAATCTTTTGTCAAATCTAATTTTATTGAGTAGATAAAATAGTTTAAAGTCTGGTAACGATTTGATTTAATTAGTTTTCTCTTCTGATTTTCTTAGGATGCTCACAAAGGGACAATGCCTTCATACTTTGGCTTTCTTACAATCTTGGCCTTCCATGTCTTCCTTGAGGAGAAGGTAGGCTGACAGCCATGTTATACTAATCTGCAACTGGAAAATAGGATCTCTAAATTATGGTATATATTTTAAATGTTGAATTCAGTAGTATTTCATTTGTCATGTAGTTATAAAACCAAACTGAAAATTGTTATTGTTACATTTCAGCTAATTCATTTTAAGTTCCTTATTTACATGAACCAACTTGCATTTAGCAAATAAATCTATTTTCAATTGATAACTTTAATCTGACAACATCTTCATGCCTCTAATAAAATGCTTACAATATTGTATACCACACTGAGATCCAAGAGGAGGACAGTAGCATGCACCAGTCTAGTTTATTTGCTTCTAACCCTTTAAATTGCATTGAAATAATATTGGGAAGGATTCTGTTAATCTTACCAGTTATAAAAAACAATCTTATTGGTGAAAAAGCCGATTGAATCACTACTAAAAATTAGATAAAGACATGGCTCAGCATAGCTCCAAATCTTTGAAAAATTGGCTGGAATTAACCCCAATACTGAACAAGAGGATGTTCTAGTTTTTTGAAGAGCGCTTTTTTATATTGTTAATTTTTTTGGTGCTATCTTTCAGGATTAATTTGGACTCTTCTAAATTAGAAATGCACCATTTCCTTTCCAACTTTCTCGCAGTCTGCTTTAAGGCCCACCCCAGTTAACTGAACCCATGATTACACCAATGAGCCGGCCTTTTCTGGCTGATTAACATGTTTTCCAGTGTGTGTCAAATGCTTATCCGTTGTATTTGCGGGGCTCTCAATAACAACATTTTGCATTTGGTCAGGTGGATGTAGCTGTAATTGAAGTTGGCATTGGTGGTGTGTATGACTGTACCAACATCATCAGGTAAAGCTCCTTCATAAATAATAAATGCTTTTCAAAAGTTGATATAACCAGAAAACATTATTAAAATTAAATTCTAATAACCTTTGAAAAAGTAAAACTTTTTACACAACCACAACCAAAATTGTCATGGTAAATCAATGCTAAACCACTTTTTTTATTTCACATATTGCCCACTATGGATTTGTATGTCACATTTACAGGATAGGGAACAATGTCTGTCATTTTTGTTACCTGATTCTAGTCTATAAATGGCTTTTGATATACATTTTATATTTAGAATGTATGTGTTTTAATATTACATGAGAAAAAACCCCATTCTAAACTGAGTGGCAGAAAAACACTAAATTAAAAAGTCAGAGGGACAGTTTATAGTTTAATATACTTAACTTAAACTCTCTCAGAGCAGAAAGCACCTAATTGTAGCTTTAGGTGTCCAAAAACTTGAGAATGATACCCTCAAAGGTCCTGTTGTTTTACACTTGGAGTTTTTCCATTTAATACATGGGAACATAAATGTAGTTTTCGCAGCTTCTAAAAGTAGCAGTCCGTTTATTATATATATAGGGTACGTAAGTTGAGAAAAAAAAGAGACAATGTACTCCTATTGTGCCCCTATTTTTGACAGTGTATTCATCTGCTTCAATAGAGTTGAGAAAATATAAACTGGGTTCTACAGATTATTTTCAGTAGCAGAATAAACCATATTTAGTGTTATATTTCTAAATAAAACTAACAGTAGAGTAAAGGATCTACCTGTGCCACAGTGTGGTATAGTATAATTGAATACTTCTTTATTCCATGTATTGATTCTGAAAAAATGATATATTTAACTCAATGCATTTTTCTTAACCTCATTTTAAAAAGAGAAGTATCGTAAATGTTTTCAACAGTGATACGGAAAAAAAGATACATAGAATGGGGATAGAAAACAAAGATTTAGGAGAAAATATTAGCTACAGTAATTTAATCTTGGAACCGGATAATTAAATACATTTTATTCTATCAAGCTTGCTGGTTTCATTAAAGTTATATTTTAATGTCATGTTGATTTATTTTGCCTTTCACTACTTCTACTAACTTAAAAAGTATTTTTTAAATATAGAATTTACAGTGTTTGAATAATAACTCATATAGATACGTTTGTGTGACTAGGAGACCATGGGTGTGTGGCGTTGCATCATTGGACATTGACCACTGTGAGCTCCTTGGAGACACAATTGAAAGGATTGCTTGGCATAAGGCAGGAATCTTCAAGGTTCGTTTGGTGGTCAATGCCAGGAATGAGGCGTGTGATCATTTCAGTTGGACTGTCAACGTGTTACGGGCTTTCATATCAGTTCAACAGAAAGTTATAATAATTTTTTCACATGACCGTTTTAATCTTTTATTATTATTATTTATGTTCCTCTTTCGAATAGCTTGACAAGGAAAAATCCATTGTAGTGTTGTGACCTGATGAACCACCTGTTGCTGTCCAGTGTTTTTGACTCTTCCCATAACTGTGGGTCATGTGTGTGTGTTGGCAGCCCGGGGTTCCGGCCTTCACCGTCAGACAGCCAGGAGACGCACTGGCTGTGCTCCACGACAGGGCCAAAGAGATTCAGGTAATTAAAGATTTTCAGATTCCTAACCGAAATATATTTTCTGGGAGACGAATATCTGCTTTCCGATTTGCTGCTAAGCTTTCTATTACTTGTCATGTTGCTGTTCCAGTGTCCTCTGTGGGTGTGCCCCCCACTGGAGGACTACCAGGCGGGAGGTGGACCTCTGAACCTGAGCCTGACGGGGCAGCACCAGCGCCTGAACGCATCCCTCGCTCTTCAGCTGAGTTCCACTTGGCTCCAGAAAAAATCTGAACTGGGTGAGGTATCCAAAAAAGATGAACAAAAAAACCTTTTGAACGTTTTATTCTTTTATTTTTATAGGTGTTTAGTGGCAAAAGAAATATGGGAAAAATAAGAATAAATATCTGCACAGAAAAAAGGTAAATGTGAAACACTGGGCTGTCCACATATTAGATTAGATTAGATTAGACTGGAGTACTATTTATCCCACAATGGGAAAATTCTTATTGTTAAGAATCACTTACAAACTTTTATTAACCTCTATTCTTTCTTTTTTCCCAACATACTTCATTGTGATGAAATCTGTTTGATGTTACCCAACTAGCTATATTCAGTTTGATATATATATATACATGGTAGAAGATAGTTGTGGAAGATAATAGGAATAGTTAGGCCTAGACACTGTTAGTCTTTAGTTTGGAATATGCGGCCTGTAGTTAGTTACTCTGTTAGAAGCTCATTTCAGCCTATAGTCTGTTACCTCTGTTTCAGTGATTGGTGATTAAGCCTAAAATTCCATCAGTTAAAGTGTATTAATCTGGTTGTGAGGATGGATCCTAAACTTTTCCTTTCACTCTCTGATTCTAAACTTCATCATGTGGTCAGCAGAACTCAACCCTTTCTGAAAGCGCTATATAATAATAGTCCATTTACCCTTTAATAGGGAATCTTTGCATCTTACTTAGCATATTTCTACATGCCACATGGTAATTCTACAGTACAATATAGTGAGTAGGTGAGTGAAACTTAGACTCCCCTACAAAACTCCTTTCAATACAAGCATTTGTGTTTTTCTTTGAGTTCTTATCTTCTCTATGTGGTATGCTCTTTTTCTAAATGAATATGATCCAGGCTTGTACCTTGGCAGCCTTTGTTGTGTACATGGTTACAGATATTTTGAATAAATGTAGTTGACTTCATGAGGATCCTTTGACCCCCATGAAATGGGAACGCTGATCAGTTTTACATCACATAGGTGTTACAGACAAAAAGACATCAAAACAACATATTCTGTTAAGACCTAGGCGCTCTTTTTTTAAACAAGTCCACCAAACACGATCGATTACTCCTGTCCCATCAGATTAACTGGAAGTTATTATTCTTTGAAAATGAGTAATTAGGTGCTAAATTGTTGGGAATTGGGTTTCTGTAATTAACTTCAGAGTAGGGACTGGCCTGCCCTGTTTGGAAAGCGCTGTGAGATAACTGTTGTTGTGATGTGGCGCTATATAAATAAAATTTAATTGAATTAAATCGCTAAACCATGCATGTATCTCCTATTCAAATACTTAAAAGCCTACAAAAAAGACCATTTTCTGAACGTGCCAAGTAGATAGCTGTAATTTGTATTGCGTGTTTCAGCTGTGACAGCTCCATGCTAGCACTTATTTTAGACCTATGTATAAACATAGATTTATTTATGTATATATTTATCTATATTCTGTGTGGAATTCTGTATACATATATATATATATACATACATGTTAAAAGGAAGTTTTTCCTTTCCTGTGTCGCCTAGTGCTTGCTCATGGTGGGAATTGTTGAGTTTCTGTAATTAACTTCAGAGTAGGGTGTGACCTGCTCTGTTTGGAAAGCGCTGTGAGATGACTGTTGTTGTGATGTGGCGCTATATAAATAAAATTGAATTGAATTGAATGTTTGTACGTATAGACTGTTGTTTTATTTATGGAGCTGGTAACAAAAATAATTTCCCTCTGGGATTCTTAAAGTATTTCTGATTCTGATTCTGATTCAGCAGATAAAAACTTTGCCTCTGACTGTCCTGACCTCAATGGAGTACCTCAGGCCAGCTCTTTCAAGCCGAGCCCTCTCATGGTGAAAGGTGAGCCACCTCCAAAGGAGGACGTCTTGTCGAACCCTCCGATTTATAACACCAATACGAAAACAGATCAAGGAGCCATTATCTTAGTCGAATGCCAACTCAAGAGTTTGTAGGTGGGTAGCTGAGTGAGGAATGTCTGAGAAACGTGTGTTCTCAGGGTTAGCAGACACCCACTGGCCCGGCAGAGGACAAACTCTGAAACGTGGGGCGGTCACCTACTTCTTGGATGGAGCTCACACCATGCTAAGTATTCAGGCCTGTGTACGGTGGTTCGAGGAAGCTACAGCCCAGCATGAGAGAAATACAAGGTATGCACCACCTCATCCAGTACAAAGAAAATGAGCAGACACTCAATGGACAAATGATCCAAATCGCTAGTGTGATTTCCTTCCATTTCTAGGCCATAGGATTCTGTTGTAAATCCAGGAAACACTAACTGTGGTCAATAACTTTGCTACACATTTGAAAATGATGGGTGAATTCATCTGCTGTGCAGCATATATTTTTTTAGCTACTGAAACACGGCACCAAGCGCTCTCTGCTGGCAAAACTTCATAATTCACTATAGATAGCAAAGTAGATGTAGAGACCTGCTCTCAGTGACTCATTTCTGGTTTTTATTAACTTTCCCTGATGCAGTGATGTTAGGAAACTTAACACAGATTGTTCAGATGGTCGTTTTTCATTCTCATTTCAGAAAGTTTTCATTTTAATTTCTAATTTTCAATCTCCAAAAGCCTATAAAAATGGCCCTGGTCCCTCATAATTGAAATCTCTCATTAGATCACTATGGTGTTAAGTCATTGTGTTGAGCAACTCATCTACTCATTTTGAGTCAGTCCCTTAAACCAACAAACCTAGACTCTGTGGTATTTATTCCTGAATAATTACTTTGGCTCTGTTTTGGATTTGGTAGTGGAAAGATCTGACACGCGGTGTTCAGTAGCAACATGTGCACAAAGATTTGTAAAACACGACAACAAATTAGCAAAAATGTAATCTATTTTCTTGGTGTAGGAAAATGTGGTTATTTGTGAAGTTATTATTAAACTCAATAGAATTTTTAGCGTTTTAAGGGTTTTTTTTGTATTATTAACACAATTAAGTTCCAGTTACCATTCACAATTATAGGTCAAGTAAGAAGAGACCTAAGTTAAAGTAATCTATGAGATCAAACGTATTCTTTTAAAGGGATTGTGTTCACCTGTGAGCCAGTGACGGCAATAACTACCAACAAGCAAACCCTCTTTAAATGTTGGTGGGTTCATGCAGCTTTCAAATATAAAGATGAGGATTGCATCACATGATATTTGATCATTTTCAAATCTACGATGGGCTGAAGGCATTGCGAACTTTAAAAGAAGTCACAGAAATGTACAATACTATTCATGTATTTGTGAAGCATTATTCATGTGTAATGTTAATTTTTTCATGAAACATTAAAACTAAAGTTTTTGTTAATTTTCTTTAATTTTTCACTGTAAAACAAATCCCCAAAAATGTGTTTAAAAAAAAAATTCTGCTAGAACACGTTTCCATTTGATTGAAATTAGTAAATATAACAAGGGTGTAACATGGTGTAATTTACCTGTAGATTCCCTGATGAGATAATTTTTTAAACCATTCATTAAAAACCGGAAGAAAAATAATCTAAAGTAATGAACTAGTCTTTCCTGTGTAATAGTGAAGAAATAAAAAGTTATTTCATAGACCTCTTTTGCTCTAACCTCATATCATAAAACAGGAAAAAAAAGTTAAGGCTTCATTCAGCAAATTAAGCACTCCAGCGTAAAATGCAGTGAATTTAGATCTCTACACCCTTGTGTTGTAGTGGATCTACGGCCAGAGTGTTGCTGTTTACAGTCACTGGTCAGAGGGATTCGGCTCCCATGCTAAAGCTGCTGTTGGTGAGTACAGCCTCTGTGTTTTGGACTATTTGGCCATACGATGCTTATTCCTCGTGCACATCTGGATTTCAATTCCATCGTATTACTTTTCAGCCATGTGGTTTTGACTTTGCTGTTTTCTGCCCAATCATCCCAGATGCAACTGCCCCTTTCACTACAGGTGAGATGAACCGAGCTGATTTATGTTAAAAAATAAACCATTCGATTGGCTTGGTGATACATATATCGAAACAGGTATGATCAGGATACAATGAGAAATAACTGCGAAAGCCAGGTAGAATGATTATGTTTATTATTTTTCTTTAAAGTCTGGCATAAACACAATTTCCTGAAATCAAGATTCTGTTGGTTTGCACAGATTTCTTCATTTTGCCTGTATATTCAATATTTTAGACACTGCCAATTATTCCCTGTCGCACACTTGATGAAAAAAAGAAAGGAAATCATTATTCTAGAAAATAATAAAGCCTCCCTTTTCAGACCAGATGAAAACTAATGAGCCAGTGGAAGACATGCTGGCTCGGTGCTCGTACAGTGAGGAGAGCTGGCGCCTCCATAGCGGTCAGGGTGCACAGGGGGGGCTGCTGGTGACCCCTGAAAAGAAAGCAGACACCCTGATCTTCCCCTGCATCCTCAGCGCCCTCCAGTGGATCACCCAGGGCAGAGATTCTGTGCTGGAGGCCAACCACGTCTTTCCAGCTGAGCCCAGCATCACGGCCAAAGCTGCTCCACTCCGGGAAGCAACCTCGATCCACGTGCTTGTGACAGGAAGCCTCTATCTGGTGGGAGGAGTTCTCAAGCACCTCCATCCATTACCATAAGTATAACCATGGTTACCTGATAGATTCTGCTAGTTTTCATCACCCAGAAACGAAGATATTAATTGTCAGTCCAGCATTAGGCTTGATAAAACATTAATTATTGTGGGCTTGCTTGCAATAAATAAATACTTTAAAATAAAACCTACACTGTGTTTGTGTCAAATAAAAAAACGGCTTTTTTGCATAATTCCTATGCTTTTTTTTTTTTTTTCATAGTAAGCATTTCTATGCTTACTACGTCACGATCAATTTAGTGTTTGTGTTTATCGCCTTTTTCCAACATTATCTTAGTTAAAAATTAAATAATGACTAACTTTAATTTAAGAAATCAGAGAGGATAACAACGATTTATTCAGCATGGTTTGTTTGGCTCATTAAGTGGCTGACGTTTGTTTTATCCAATAGCGACAGAGATTGTTGAACGAGGGCTCCAAACTTAACCAATGGGATTTCAATAGGCGGGGTTCCTTGCGTGGCTAACGTAAGCGTTGCCACTAGGAAGAAGAAGCCGATTCTGGAAGCCATTACGTTGCGCACTTTAATTGAGTAAATCCTACTATTTTTGCGTACAATACGCACAATTACCTCTGTTCAAGAGGGTTTTCTTGAGTTATGGCATCCGCTGCAAAAAAGAGAAAAATGAATTTTTCGGAGAGGGAGGTGGAAATTATTGTAGAAGAAATTGAGAAACAAAAGCACACACTGGTTAACCACTTCAATGCTGGCGTCACCCATATGGCAAAGAATAACGCGTGGGTGGATATTTTGAAAAAGGTTAACGCTGTCACCACCTGTCCCAGAGAGCTGCCGGAGGTGAAAAAGAAGTGGTCGGACATGAAGACGGAGGTCCGGCGGAAAGTAGCCCAGGCGCGAGCCGCTATTGAGGGGACGTCCGCCGACTGCACTCCTGTCCCTGTCATCCTCACTGCCATGCAGCAGAGGATCTGTAACCTGCTGGGGGAGGCCACCATCATCAGCCTGCCCGCGGGAGACTCGGACGCTGAGATAACTTTGCCGGTTACGGTCAACGCGGCCGCCACCGTCACGCTAACAGACGGTAAGAAAAGCAAAAGCGGGAAAAAAAAAAAAAACTCGGGGGCGCGCGCGCAGTTGCACGCGCACGCTGTAAAGAGCCCGACTGAAACTTCATGTTTTGGCTTTATTCGGTCTGTATCTGGTTAGACTGATAACGTGGCGGGGCAACGGGCGTTTTATATGTCGAAATTCGACTTTAAAGGAAAATACACACTTAAATAAAGTCGCCTGAGAGTGAACAGGTAAAAAATAAGGCTAATTTTGGTTCACGACTACCATCCCGCCACTCTAGTTCTGTTTATATTTGTGTATTTACAATGTATCAGAAATAACTACATGAAATTAAGAGGACAGTTTTTCAGGCCTAGCATAAGAAAATAAAATTAAAAAACGAGTTTAAGGTAATTCTTAGAATAGTTTATGCCTTTGCTCATTGCGTGAACTAAAGATATTTAAAGATAGTAACAGTTTATAATTTATTCTGACATTTCAGGCCTGTCTTCATTCGATAAAGGTGGGCAAAATCTCCAGGTTGGAAGACTAATTTGGTTGATAAACCTGGAAATATTTCATATCTAAAAACACATACAAAGATGTGTTCTCTGTACAGTTCACACAGCGGAAGAAAGCTGGAGTCGTTATTACACGCAAAGGTCAAAACCACAAAATGTTTTATTGGAGGAGTAGGCTAGGAGGTCAAAGACAACGAGGACCAGTCTGGAGGCTAGGCACTGGTCAGATCCCTTGCAGTGACCACTATTTCTCAGGAGTTTTCGAAAAGGAAACATTCCAATGAAACTAGCTGCTGATGATCCCATACGGTTGCAACCTGACACGTTGTTTGCAGAAAGGATTGAACTAAACAGGCCCTAAAATGCATTGTCTCTTGGTATATTCAATACAGGAACTTCTTGTCTTGAGAAAAAAATTAAAGTGATTTGGATCTTACATGGATGGTGGTGGTGGTTAGCCCCATCGTCTTACAGCCAGAGGGTTCTGGGTTTGAGTCCCCGGGGGAACCAGGACCTTTCTGTGTGGAGTCTGCATGTTCTCCTGTGTCTGCATGGGTTCTCTCTGGGTTCTCCAGCTTCCTCCCACCATCCAAAAACCTGCATGTTAGGTTGACTGGACATTCCAAACTGCCCTTAGGAGTGTGTGTGTTTGTGTGGTTGTTGGTCCTTGTGTGTCCCTGTATGGCCTTCCCCATTGACCACTGAGATATGGCCTTCCCCATTGACCACTGAGATAGGCTCCAGTCCCCCCTTTAGGGAATAAGCGGTTATGATAATGAATGGATAGATGGAACTTATATGAAAAACAAAAATCAATCAATCAATCAATGTTTATTTATATAGCTCTTCACAACAACCAGAGCTGACCAAAGTGCTTTACAGTAATTAAAACAGATCAAACAATCAAAATATACAAAGACATGTGCATAGATGAAAGAACACAGTTTACAGTGATTTTAAGTGCAAAACACCATTCTGAACAAATTTTGTTTTAAGTTTAGCTTTGAACAGAGGCAGGTCAGTGATTGTACGTAGCTCAGTGGGCAGAGAGTTCCACAGTTTAGGTCCTGCCACTGCAAAAGAGCGGTCACCCCACTGTTTGCACCTGGACCGTGGGACCTCCAGCAGATGTTGACCAGCAGACCGAAGCGATCTGCCGGGCTGGGGAAACCTCAGGATTTCACTGAGGCCATTAACTGCTCGAAAAACAAACATGAGTATTTTAAATTGAATCCTGTACTGTACCGGGAGCGAGTGTAGGGAGTGGAGGACAGGTGTAATGTGGTCATGTTTACATGTATATATGTTTAAATGTATATATGTTAACAGAAACAAGGCAGATGAGTCAAATTCTAAAATACCTTGTTTCATACCATCATCAATAATTAGTGTTATAGTAAATTAAAGAAGGATACTTTAAAAGACCAAAATCTTTCTGCTGTCAACTGCATACAGGTTTGGCATTTGTTGCTGTAAAGTACCTCAAAAGGAAATTATATTTTCATATGTACTTTCAACTTAATCAATTTACATGGTCTCTGTGTTATGCAGCTCTTCCAACGGTTCCAGGGACAGTGTGTGATGACACAAAGCCACTGAGCGGTACGTTTTTCTCTTATTTTTATTTTTTGCGGTTTCTTTATTTATGTATGAAATGATACCCTCCAAAAAGAATTTACAGATTTTGATTGATTGAAGCATAGAACATTCTCTACCTTCCCTCAGTCCTTTTTAGCTGATGCTGTCTTTGAGCCACTTTGTTTTATGTCTGTGAGCCACTTTGTTGCAGGCTGTATATTTTTTCTGTCTGATTTGAATTAATAATGCCTTTGGAAAGCTATAGGTTTACTTTTAATGCTGTTTATCATGTATGATTCATGGGTTATGCCTCTTTTCTGCATTGTGTTAAAGAAAGGGAACATATATTTCCTATATATACACACAGAAACACTCACAAATTTTATCAGTTAAAAAATAGAAAGTTGTAAAACCACATATTTCATTTGGATAAGATGTTAGGGACATTTTTCTTTTGCTGTTACACATAATTTTATTAATCTGAGTCAAATACAAATCTCATAAAATGGCCGGATCGTTCTTTGGCGTCTCTGTCCCGTCCCCAGCAGAGACGACGTACCACGCCCTGGAGGACGGCGGCGTGGTGGAGTACTGCACCACGGTGAGCGACTCCACGCCCACGGTGGTGGCGGCGGTGGAGGCCCCGGTGGAGATGCTGGCCTCGTCCTCGGCCTCCTCGCCGCCGCCGCCGCCGCCGCTGCCCCTGAGCCAGGCCAAGCCGCAGGAGCTGAAGAGCCGCATCGCCCTCAACTCGGCGCGCCTGCTGCAGGAGCAGCGCGTCACCAACGTGCACATCCGGCAGATCGCCCAGCACCTGGAGGGCCAGAACGAGCTGCTGCAGATGGTGCGGCGCTCGCAGGAGGCCCAGGCCCTGGCCCAGGAGCGGCAGGCCCAGGCCCTGGAGGGCAGCCAGGCCGCGCTGCTGGCCCTGGTCCAGATGCTGCGGCCCGCCCTCAAAGACCTGCGCAAGTTCCTGCAGAGCGGGGCCGACGCCGCCAACGCCGCCAATGCCGCCGCGCCGCCGGCCGAAGGGGCGGGGCCCGAGGAGCACCCCAGGCCCAAAACGCCGCCACCCCCGCCAACACAGCAAGGCGACGGCACGCAGTAGAGTAGACTCTCCGCTGTGTGTGTCTCTTATTTGCATGCGCACACAACCTATAGAAAAAATATTTAAAAAATGTATCGGGGTATGGGGGGGTGCCTTATGAAGAGCATTACCAGAATAGTTTTTATTGATTTGTTTTTGGTTTGCAAAAAAAACAGATAGAAAAGGTTATTTTTAAAATGCCACCGGCTGGCCGTGACATGTCTGAATATATTGTTTTTGATAAGATGATGTTTTTAATAGAGAGATCCTGCAGTGTGAATATTTGACTGTTTTTTGAAGCTATCCTTTCCTCACCCTGGGGGAAAGAAAAAAATTAGAGGCCGCACACCAGCAGCAGTTGGTGTTCTGCTCTGATGTTCACCAAAAGACGTCGGTGTGTTTGAGGAAGTCTGAGGAAGGGTGGATTAAAGGTGCAGTTTACCAAAAAAAGTGTGGAGAATGTCTTCATTTTTTGAAGAACAATCTAAGCGGGCCTTTGGCGCACTTTTTTATGAGGTGCTGAAAAAAGACAATTCAATCGGGGAAAAAGAGCACTGATGTTTTTTTCCACTTTAAAGCCGATTAGTGAATCACTTAGGCTACGTTCAAATCAACGCACAATTACGGTTTATGTATAAATGTTTTTATTTTTTGTTTTGTTTTTTGCATGGTTGTTCACATTTCCATATACATGCGACTTGTATGTGATATCCTGTGTTAACTGCAAACAAACCTAAAGGTGTCCATACCTCAGTCTTTGCGGAGTTAAACGTGGATGCTAATGGTGGAGCATACTTAGTGATCTTTAAAGTCATTGTCCAACTGGAGACGGCATTTTAAACAACTTAATCGTCCTAAGAGGAACGAAAAGAAAGAGAAGCATGCTTCCCGAAAATCGCCCGGTTCCGATAAGACCCCCTCGAGTTTGGCCCGGACAAAGCTATCCCTAATTAAATAAGGAGACACTAATTAAGCCAGAACACTTGCTTTTTCTCCACTGAGTTTTCTACGCATTATATGCCGCTGTTTGCTGTTTTTCTCTCCACGTAGCAGGAAGCAGATTAGTGGCGTTTTCCGAGTATCGGCCAAACAATGTGACCTGACTGTACAGATACAGGTCACATTTAGAAAGATCAGATTTAGAAACGCGTGTCCAAGTGGTCTTAGTCGCATTTGTAAAAATCCAACTTGTATTGTTCAGGCTGTCATAAAAAGATCAGATACAGGTCGCATTAAGGAAAAAAAGTCAGATTTGGGTGACTCCGGGTGGCAGTGTGAGTGTGGCCCTACATTAAATCACTGTAACACACTGATTTAACTCAAATGTAAAATAACCAACTGTAACACAGTTGGGGTGAAAAGCCCCAAAGGAAGTTCATATACAGACACAGTGGTTAAAAGTACTACTAATGTTATATCTGTCTTCATATGGACTGGGTCTTTAACCATTGTTTTGTTTTATTTATTTGTTTTTTTACCAATTTGACAGTAAGACATATCCTATAGGTACTAAATCAAACCTAAATTGATGAAGAAGACTTAAGTGTTACTTAAAAGTTTGGACTTTTGACAAAAATCCAGGGGAAAACCCTGATATTATGTACATGTCATTCACTGGGATTGCGAGGTTTTCTATGAAATGGCTTTGCTTTTTAAAAAGGCTTAGCATTTGAGACTAAAGTAAGACTAAGATACTGTTGCTTCTAAGTGATCAGAATTTGGAGGTCTTACACAAAAGAAGAATACTGAGACAAACGGAAACAAACTTTTCGGTACAAGTTTTAGACCGTTCTGTTTTAGACTCCAACCATCACTTTTCCACTTTTTTCGGAGGGGTTTGATGTCATGTGCTGATATTTAGTAGATTTGTCCTTTGTCTTACCGATTGCCACACAACCTGTAAGCACACTCTTATATTCCTGTGCTCAGCTTTTCTCTTTATTTTTCATCACATGCTCTTTTCTCCTGTCCACCAGCATAATTTGTTCATTTTTAAATTATAGCAGTGTGCGATCATCATCTAACTATACACTTTCTAACTGAAAAGGTTTATGAGTTTTTCAACAAGCACCATTTCTGCTTTGGGGACACTGCACAGGCTCGAGAATTTAGGCAGTAAGAAAAAACATTTACAGATTTATACTTAAAATGATACTTGTTATAATTGTTTTGTACAGCCAAGTTATTCTAAAAAGTAAAAGTTACAAGTAACAATGTTACGATAAACAGAAATGCTAATTTAATTTTTTATTAGTAAACGGTTATAATTACAACCTCTCACCTTTATCAGTATGTTTAATTGACTGTATTCTGGTTTTATGGATGGTGCCAAATGGAAAAATTCAATTGTGAGTAAAGGAATGAAGAATTACAAGTTAGAAGGAAGTTTTTGTCAGCCAAGTAAAAAAAAAAAAAAAAAAAGTTTTTTTCTTTGCAAGATGTCCACTTCCTTAGTTTTTGTTTATGCAAAACAAATATTAATCTTTCTGATTTTCCAGCATTCATGAAGGGCTTTGAACCACCATGGAAACAGGTTCCATCACTCTCAGTAGTTTCAGTCATTTGTAAGTCATTGTTAGTTTTTATATTGAACAAAAGTACAAATAAATGATGTAAAAAAGTGTAAATGATCCTTTTCTTAGATAACAATCCAGTTTTATAAAATTTTTTAGTAAATATGATCAATGTAAAATCCCCTTTTGAGCTCATCATGTCAAACTCATCAACTCCTCTTTTACTCTAATCTTTCTTTTATTTTTCAGTTTTAGTTGAACAAAACAAATCAAATGTATATCGATATATTCTCCAGTCATTTGCATATAAAGCCATCCGTCTGACCGCTAAAAACTGGGTAAAACCCTTTTTTTTGCCCATCAATCCATTTTCTATTCCCAATTTAGGGCCGGATCATCACAGCGGTATATTTTCTATTAAAATCAACCAAAATGTGGAATTTGAAAATTCCTAGAAATATAATGAAAAACATTGTGTTTGTTTTTAGTAAAGACATAATTGATTAACCTCCTGAGACCCGAGCATTTATTTGCTAACACTAAAACTGTCGGGTCACCATACGCTGTCAGATCGGCATACGCTTAGCACAAATTTAAGAGAATAACATACAGGAAGTCTACTAGGCTACTTACTTTATGCGTGATATGATAAACAAAAAATTGTAATTCAAGGTAAACACACAAACTTACCAGAAAAGGATTCCGAAAGTCAAGTGGGCTAGCTTATTTATGTGTGATGTAATCAACAAAAAGTTTTAGTCTGAGGTAAACAGAATTTAAAGTTAAACTGCTTTAAACACAGACAGCCTCGCTTTCCGTGTTCGCTATTCACACCCTGACGTAGTAGTTAACCTTTCAGATTTTCATACAACAGTCAAGTGTATGACAATCTGACAGGCTAAGTCTTAGCCTGTCAGATTAGATAACAATAAAAAAACAACTGTCATTGTGACCAAATATCGCTGAAAATGATGGACTAACATTTATGCATAGTAATTCGTTTGAATTTAGATGGACTATAAGGATTTTTGCTCATCTTTTCCATGTGTGCGCCAGTAAAAGATGAAGATTTTCTTCTTCCCAATTCTCCTTGCATAAAGTATCGCGATAGCAATGTCTTTTTGTGCGATGAAACTTTGCTTTTCCCGCCTACCCATAGAAACGCAATTGCTTCACGCTAAAGCCAAACGTTTTAGTGTTTTCCTGCCACTTCAAAACCACAAATCAGAGAGAGTCCGCCCCATTAAGCAGGAGATAATGGAATATTTTCTCTGGAAAAGTGACACAATTCTGCCAGCAAGTGTCGCCCCGTCCATCTGTAAAATGCTCCAATTCTGATCCAGATGCCGGAAAGCCGTCAGAAACAGGAAGTGATGCTCAGATATGACATATATTCAAACAACGTCCAAACAAATCAAATAAGCATGTAAATAAATAATAAATAAAGGTTAAAAAGCCCTAAAATCCTAATCCTTTTAAGATGAATGCTGAATTTCAACGCGCCCTCCCCCACCCCCCTCAAGACAAATCACCAAGAAGTGACTTTATATTCATATAAAGTGAATAAACACCTGTTTTATTCTTTTTCCCGAGCTAATGTCAGTGATGTAGTGTTTACGCGCCACAGTTTGTCTTATATTTAGTGCAACATTTTTATCATGTAATGGAGGGGAACTTTTCCTTGATTCAGTAACCCGTAAAAGAAATAGTCTGATACCGGTACGGTAAAATCAACATTAGTGCAATCACAATAAAGAAACTTTGGAAATACAGCAAAGCAATAACACTATGACCGACATTGTTCAGCTGAATGAAAGAAAATACAAATAAAATTAAATGAAAATGCAGGTGTTAGCCCGGTCGGAAGCCTGAGAATAAAACAGAGTAGATCTAGAGTACAAATATGACATTTATTGGTCACAAGGAAAGTAAATCAGCGCTGGGCTCTCACAGACAGTTTTAAAAGTGTGGGAAAAAAGAAGCTGCTTATAGTCCGGAATTGATAGTATTTCTTTGAATTCTAAGGCTTTAAAAGCCTTACAGACAGTCTAGAACCTTTTTAAATCCTAAAGAAAACAAAGGAATCTGTCTGGAT